GCCCCGCTCCGCTCCCTCCGCGCGCACCGGCGGTTTAACTGCCAGGCGCGAGGCTTGAGGCGTCGAGAGTTTCCGTCAAAGGAGAATAAAACCCCGGCTGCCAGGGGACATAAAGTCTGTCCTCGCCTTCCCTAACGCCCCCTCCCCGCCCCGCCCGGGGCTGCGGGACGGGAGAGACTGAGGGGGAGGGAGAAGGGCCGTGCCCCGGCCCTGAGGGGAGGTGCGGGGCCCCGGCCCTGAGGGGAGGTGCAGCCTCTGTGCCCCGGCCCTGAGGGGAGGTGCGGGGCCCCGTGCCCCGGCCCTGAGGGGAGATGCGGCCCCTGTGCCCCGGCCCTGAGGGGAGATGCGGGGTCCCGACCCTGAGGGGAGGTGCGGGGCCCCCGTGCCCCGGCCCTGAGGGGAGGTGCGGGGCCCCGTGCCCCGGCCCTGAGGGGAGATGCGGCCCCTGTGCCCCGGCCCTGAGGGGAGATGCGGGGTCCCGACCCTGAGGGGAGGTGCGGGGCCCCCGTGCCCCGGCCCTGAGGGGAGGTGCGGCCCCTGTGCCCTGGCCCTGAGGGGAGGTGCGGGGCCCCGGTCCTGAGGGGAGATGCGGGGCCCCTGTGCCCTGGCCCTGAGGGGACGTGCGGGGCCCCTGTGCCCTGGCCCTGAGGGGAGGTGCGGGGTCCCGGCCCTGAGGGGAGGTGCGGGGCCCCTGTGCCCCGGCCCTGAGGGGAGGTGCGGGGCCCCCGTGCCCCGGCCCTGAGGGGAGGTGCGGGCACCCCCGCGGACCTTGGCGCAGGGGCTTCCCCCCGAGGGCGGCTGGCTGTAAAAAGAGCTGTGTCGTCTTTAGAAAGTTACCGTGAGTACCTTCCTACAAAGCGAAGCTGGAAATCCTGAATAAAACCCAGCAAACCCTTGACCGGGGCTGCATAAGGGACTCTGGCTTCCTGAGGCTCGTTAAATCTTGGAAAGGTAAGCAGGCCATAAATACAGTGGTTTTAAAAGGGGGTTAGCTCCCCCCCACAGCTTGATTTCTGCTCTTCTGTATTAGGTATCTTGATGATCCTCACAACGGTGGTCATCACTGTACAAAAAAAAATGTCACTTGGTTTTTTAAACCGTAGAATTCCATTTTCACTTTCATGTTCTCAGTCCATTTGGGTGGAGGAAAAAAAAAAGAAAAAAGCACTTCACTAAAAAAAAGCACTGACCTGAGTAGTCAATACCACCAGTGCCAGGAAGAGAAACCACCATGACCTATTTCAGATGTTATTTTACAGGTACCAAGTGCAAACACATGTGCAGCTTCTCCTTGTTTTTACTCAATGGAAACACCGTTTGTGGCAGTACAGGAAACAGAAACACAGGCCCAGAAGGAAAGCAAGGAGAGCGCTGCCCTGTACCATATTCCATACATTTCTCATAAGTTTGGGCTAAGCACATAGACCTGGACTCCATAGCACTCCATACAGGAACAACCGTAAAGGTAGAGGCTGAAAAACCAACAGTAAGCATGCCTCAATGTGAACTAATAAAAGGCAGTATTAACAGCAGAAAACAATCTAGTGAAAGCCCTCACGTTTACAGTAATTTAACGCTTTTTCAAACAAGTTCAAGCCGGTTCCACTCACAGCCCAACTTATCAATTGGTAGTGTTGCTCCGAGGTCTGTCCCGAACTGGTCCAACACCCAAGGCCACAAGAATCAGTTGATTTAGAAAGTTAATTCCCAATTTTAATACCTACATATTTCCCCACAGCCTGTGTGTAACAGAGCTCAGCTGACAACAAGGATAAGGGACTATTTCTATAGAAGGTCTTATCTGAGCAGATGAGCTCATTCAGCTTGGTCTTCTTTCCTTCTTCCTTCTTTCTTTTCATTCCTCCCTTCTTCCTTTCTTCCCTTCCTTCCCTCCTGCCTTCCCTCCTTCCTTCTTCCTTTCTTCCCTTCCTTCCCTCCTTTCTTCCCTCCTGCCTTCCCTCCTCCCTCCCTCCCTCCCTTCCTCTCTTTCTTTCCTGAAATATACACAAACAGAATAAGCTTCTGTGCAGTTACAAATATATACTGGTTTTCCTCGGATATCTGACCAGCTTTTAAAACTTTCCCCTCTTGCTTGTCAAAGAAGCTGTGTAGAGTGAGGACATTTCTATTTGAGTTTCCATATTGAACTTTCAGACTTAGGATTTAGGAGGCCTGCTTTGCTTGCATGTGTACTTTTATTGCTGGTCCCTGAGGTGACCTTGTACGAGCACTGCAGTACAGTTCTCAAAAGTAAGATCTTGGTATGGTTGCAAGCTTTTGCCCTGGGAATATATAGGGTTTGAGGGATTCACAGTGCCTTGTCATTGCCAGTGAGAGGCATGCCAGCCTGTCTAGGCTTTATCCTAGCTATTGAGCTCAGCTAGCTTTTCTGAGGGCCAAATAGATTTTTCATACATCTTGTCCTGGCTCACACACTAAGGCTGTCCCGAAGGCAGTAAAAACACAAAATATTTATTGGCATTTAAAATGAGTTGTGGGCTGTTTCCTGTTTATGAGCTGTGGGTTTCCCATCCCACACTCGCTGACAACCAAACTCTTAGCAACCTTCATCTACAGCCTGGTCAGCAAAGAGTTATCCCAGACATGGAGAAGAGCTCTCTTAATCCCGATTTTGGAAATGTTTTCTTCTAAAGAAGTTGCATACATTTTGTCCATAAAAATGGCTGGTGTTGCAGAAAGCATCAGTAGTGAAGGAGGAGACTGTATCCCACATTCAAAATATGTGCCGAGGAGACCGTACTGGTTCCTTTTGTACCGAAATTGCTCTTTAAGTGTAGATTACTTGACTGGATTGCGTAAATTTGTATCTCAGTTCAAATCTTAATAACATACTAAATATCATAAACATCCATTAGCTATTTAAATTTGCAAGCTTTTAGAAAGCAGAAATTAGATTATTTACTAGGCTTTAAGCTGGAATAGGCTTTAATTAACATTATATTCTATTAATATGCAATAACCATATTACTATTGCCTAATAGCTTGGCAGTTGTGAAACAAACAGACAGACTTGTGCAGTCGTTGATTTTCCATCTTTCCAGTAGCCAGCTGGCTTTGTCAGAGGTCTCCATAGTGGTGCACAGCATTTCTGTCACAAAATATTTTCATTTGCAAAACAGAAACACCTTTCCATTTATTTAAAGGCCCGATGCAGAGCGTCTTGTAGCAATTCTGTGGAAGCAGATGAGCAGATCCAAGTCAGCACAGACTCATCCAGAAGTTTGGGAAGCGGACTATACCGGCAAAAATCGGCCGCGCATTCACCACCTCCTCCAACTACGGGTGAAACACAGGAAGTGGGCTGACCCCATGCTCAAATACTTGCTCAAATATGTGGTTTCTCTTGCTGATCTGATGACAGAGATTTTAACATACAGTGTGCCTTGTTTTTACTGGGTCATCATGAAAGACTTTCCTGTCAAAGCCAATGTAATAAGTATGATAGAGCCTTCCCATTTAGGTATTTATTTGAACAGGAGCTACAGCAACCACGCATCGTAGCCAGCATTTTATAAACTGAAATAGCAAACATATGGTTCTATTTCTCTTTGTGTGACTACTGAAGTTTTACTGAACTAACATGTACTAAATTAAAATCCTTTTAATATTATTGACTTACTCTTCTTAAAAGAATAGAAGTGGCTGGACTGTCACAAGACAGGAAGTTTTGTAAAAAGAGCTCACTAACAGCAGTTTAGAAAACTAGTTGAGTGTAATTTAAGACTTTTTGTGAATAATGTTGCACATGCTGAATCCTGCCCATTTGTTCTCGGTCAGAATAAATCAAAGACAAAAGCCCTATGTGATAATGAACAGGAAATGTTAAAAAATGTTAATAAAATGTTAAAAGAACAGTTCTCTCTCATCAAATCAACCCCCTTAAAAAAATCCCAACAACCAAGCAAACTGGTGAAACAGAAGAGATTTATCTGACATTCCATTGTGAAGCTCTGTCCCAGCATAGCAATCTTGTTACAGAAACGCCTGTGCTACTTTGCTTTGTTGTTGTTTTTAGGGCAGGTTGATTATGAGGGTTGGTTGTTTTCAGATGCATGTCTCTGCTGGATTAGAACAAAGCTCTAAGACTAGGGGTGATAAAATATTTTAAAATAAATCATAGGAGGCTCATCTGCCAGATTTCAATATGACAGGTTTTGGATGGAACTAGGATGCAAGTTACGGGTTTACACACGTCTAATGTTTCACAAAGCTATTTAGACATTGGATAATGTTTTTTTTTTAAAATCTAAGCTGATATTTTATTTACCAACAAAATAAGCAATTTAAGTTCTTACTTACATTTAATTTTCATTAGAGATATTTACCTTGCCATCCCATCAATGTAAGGTATGGACTCAGTCATTTAGATCATCACGTATATCCATATTTGAAACTGACTTTGCTCATTACTCTTTACTTACTAGTGAAATAATTCATTTTTTGTTACAGTGTCAAGATCAAACATTCCAGATATCTGTGTGTCTTTTCCTGTATCAAAAAAGCTAAGTACAGTTGCACATAAGATGATGATACTTTAAATGAATCAATTAACCCTTTTTAGCCCAATATGTTTAGAATTTCTCTAATAACTGACATTCTTTTTATGGTGGTGCTGTCATCACTATAGATAGCTATATTATTGGCAGCAATTCTTGAATTAGCATTTTTTTAATGTGACAGTTTTCTCCTTTCCCTCATTATTAATGTCAGTCTGCTTAATTTCTCCATTTTAATTTACAAAATTATTCTTTAAAGAAAAACTTTTAGCAGTGGGTAAGCACCTTTCTTACAGGAATGCAGGATGCACACATTAAGGGTGCACTGAAAGAGAGGGGGGAAAAGCTAAATCCCCCCC